GTGCTCAGATGGAACCCAGGATCTGGCACATATTAACCAAGCACTTTGCCAAGGATACATTATAATTAATTTCATTAAGTACTACTTGGCTGCATAAGCTATCTCTATAAATCCACATTCAAAACACTTTCTTTTGAGCATGCCAATGAAAAAGCATGCCTAGGATAGATCTTACACAGTGAAGTTATCAAGTGCTATCCAAAGGTAGTAGACTATTGGTAAGAATTGCATGAGGTCTCTCGGGGTCTCCTCATCTCTGCCTAGTAGAGAAAGGTCTTAGTCTTTGCTGTACACCTATAATCCCAGCACTCTGAAGGCTAAAGCACAAAGGTCTCAAATTCAAAGTTAATATAGCCAGGGAGATGGCTCAGTGGAATAAGTGCTTCCCTGGCAAGCACAAAGACCTGAGTTCAATCCCCGGTTCCACCAAAAAAACAAAACAAAAAAAAAAACCAAAGTTAATATAGGCTAAATAGTAAGACTGTCTCAAACAAAAACAAAATAAAAATCTCCACAATGAATATAATCATTATGTATCCCAAACATGTATGAATAAAAATTTAAAAACCAAAACAATAAAGTAAAATGGACTGAAGAAGCAGCTTAGGATAAGGCCCTGAGTTCAATCCCTGGTAGAGTAGGAGTTAGGATCCAAACCAAGATCCTCACTGGCCTCTGGCCAGCTACAGGCATGGCCTCCTTGTTATGCAGAGGCAGGCATGTGGCCAGCTAGGACTGGCAGCTGTCAGGGGCTATTGTAGTGCTAGGATCCATGACATTAATAGCGTCTTTGGCTTGGTCAGTGCAGTAGTCACCTCTCCAAAGCCCTGTGGGACACAGGACTTTCCCAGGGTTGCCAGTGTTTTGGGGGACCTCATTTACCTAGGTACTCACTTAAGGTAACCTGAGAACATGAATTTAAAAGTAGTTACTTTTTGTCATTTTCTAGAGCAGAGGCTGGGATTTGGTCCTTTCCTTCCATAGTGTGACTTCTCTCCTGGCCCTTCTTCTACAGTCCATTCACTCAATTGGTCAGTCTTTGAAGAAAAACACACTAATATCCTTGTATTTCCACATTTCCAGACATGTGCTCTAGACAGAGGCCTCTTTTGCCTCACTTGTCAAGAGGCAATGCATGTCAGGAATCATGACCAAGTGGAAGCATAGCATCAGTGTTCACATTTCCCACTAGAATCAGTCAGAGGTACATGTAACACAGCTGTGAACCAGGCCTATGTGCACACCTATAATCCCAGTTACTCAGAAGGCTGAGGAAAAGATTAAAGAATTGGGTGAATACACTATATACATACTTATACACTTTCAGCAGAAAGACCAGTGAACGATTATGATAGTTGTTTATCAAAGAGTATACTGATTTTGTAGGATACTGAGCATATCTACAAATGATTTGTTCTTCACAGGTAGACTGAAAAAAGTAAAATCTGAAAATTCGAGTCAAAAGGAACCCAGCTCAACCAAATTGGAGCCAGCTACACCCAACTACCTGTCACACATTCTGTATGTGGGTAGTGGGGCTTATGGGGACCACATGGGACTCTTAGGAACCTAGTTATCTGCCCCTCCAGCCCCATCCCACTACCCTGCCCTCTCCCTATCTTCCTAAGCAGCTCCCAGCTTGTATCTGATAGCGCACTGCACCCTCTACTGGACACAGAAGTCTTCCTTCCTCAAAGAAAGGAATGTCTCAGGTAGCTGGTGAGCAATTAATTCATCCACAGAATCTCTTTCTGTAGAACTGTCATACACATACCTTTCAACTGCTCTTAGGTTTCCTCTCTCAGTAAAATAGTTCCATTTTCCTCAAAAAGATTCAAAGTATCTACATCTATAAGCAACGCTTTCAAAGTACAAGGTATAGGACAAGCTATGTGATCCTTTGAAGGATGTCCAATAGTTTGGGAATTCTTTGTTTTGTAAAATACATCTTAGTACTACTGTACTATATTCATTCATCCAACAATTATTTGTATAGCATATACCTAGTACAAACCAACAAAACATAGAGTAAGCTCTGTAGGGAAAAGGATATAAAATAAGTAATTGGCAAGAAGTATTATTTTTAAAATAGGCAGAAAAGAATCAGGATGCAGGCCATTATTGCTATTTGAAGTCATGATGAAAAATAAAGGAGCCATCCTGTGGACACCTCATGGAGGTCCAAGGTGAGAGGAACAGTGCGGCACTGCACACCTCAGAGCATTAAATTTTGTCCAATGAACCCCAGGAGACCCCGTGACCATGGCATGAACAGTAATGAGGTAGAGGGGGCAGGTGAAAACTACAAGGAATTTGCAGGCCACTGTGACCACATGAGTTGCATTCAAAGGGATGGGGACAAAATGGGAGCCTCCAACAGATGCAATGCCATTGGGTGCAAACTCCCAATGTTTCACTGACAGATATCCTCAACTAGTTAGGAGCTAGGGAGCTACAGAGTAAATTCTATTAGTCTTCTTTGGTTTGGGAGCTGGAAGAGGTAGCACATGAAGACGAGAAAAACTTCAATACAGATGTGTCATACTTTTCCACACTGCCTGCCACTCCAACGCTAAAGCAGGAATTAACCACACAATTTGCTTAATAGAACCTGATGTTTCCTGCAGTAAGGGCCAGTCTCCAGTATTTAGGTTCATACTATTTCCATCAAGTATTTGTCCTTTTTCAGGGTTTTTGGGTTCCCCCACCCCAGTACTGGGCTGAACCTAGCACTTTCACACTCAGCTACATCCCCACCCCTTTTTAGTGTCTTGAGACTTAGCCTCACTAAACCACTAAGTTGCCCAGGCTATGTATGCTTCAACTTAAGATCGTCCAGCCTCAGTCTCCTGAGCTGCTGTGATCACAGGTATGGACCACCATATCTTGCTCCACTGAGCAGCTGTTCACATTATTAATTCCCATGTTTTCATTTTGACAATTTTTTTTTTAAACTGGAGATCTGAATTGAGAATCGTAGCAACTTAATTGTGGCCACTTAATGAGTAGTGAGGCAAGGTCTCAAAGCATTAAAAAGGGGCAGGAATGCAACTTGATATTCAAGCCCACATTCTGACCATACTGACCATACACCCTACCACTGTACTACATACACCCCAGCAAAATATTCTAGTCTCCAGAACCCCAATTCATTATGGCAAACTATAGCTACACCTTGTAGCTCCATGCATAATGTGAACAGGTACCTCGTGCAGTTTGCCACATGAGGTTACCCTGCCTACATCAGTAAAACCAAGACAAACATGTCTTGTACTGAGTCTTAAGGACACTTCTGTGACACTCACTGTTTACAAAGCTTTCATTTATGCATCTCTCACTGAATACCCAGTTGGCCCATGCTTCCTGCCCGCTTCAGCTTTGATCCAGCTCTATGCATGTGGTTTATTCAGCTATGCTAACCACTGTGCTTTATCCTGGGTTCCAGAGTGGCAGTGTCCACATGGAAGCCACAAGTTACACCCAATGCATCATCACCTGAAATACAACTGGTCCAACCAATTTCTAAAGTCATAACACACAAAAATTTAATTTTCTTACGCTGCTTACATGTTGAAATATTCTGAACAGCCAGGAATGATGACACATACCTGTAATTCCAGCACTCTGGGAGGATTAAGCAGGAGGACCTTCAGATCCAGTCCAACCTAGACAGCTTAACAAAACCCTGCCTTAACATAAAGGTCCTGAACTGAGCATGGTGACCCATATCTGGAATCCCAGCACTTGGAAGGCTGAATAGGACTGACATGAGTTCAAGGCCAGCCTGGATTACAATGAGACTATCTCAAAAAGCAAAAAAAAAAAAAAAAGAAAGAAAGAAAAAGAAAACAAATAGTAATACTGCTATAATTTCACTTGTATTTTTGTAATGTGACAAAGAAATTTTAAAATATTTCTACTAGTTATCTGTGTTACTCTCAGAGTATCCCAACAGTTTTCACTTAATGAGCAACTACAACTGAGCAAGCACTTTGTTAGACACCTTACATACTACTATTTATTTAATCCTAATACCTCGACATGGCCCATTTAATCACTTGACAGCAAGACTCAGGAGCTGATGCTCAGAATATGGAGCTAACCTGTGTGGTGGTACAAGCCAGCACTCTGGGAGACTGAGACAGGAGGACTGAAAATTCAAGCCCAGTCTAAGCAATGTAGAAGGACCCTGTCTCACAGTGTGGGAGGGACAGGACATAGAAATGTAGCTGCTCAGTACTAAAGCCGTGAGGTCAATCGCCACTATTACAAAAAAAGTAGCAGGAGATAGTGAGGTGGTGTGTGTAGTGGTGAGGGATATATGACCAATATCAGAATGCAAAAGAAATTACAATTGCCGTAGCTCTTACAGACATTAAAAGAAAGACTGCTACAAGGAACTTTACATCTACAAACCTATGTGAACAACCAGGACCACATGGATCAATTTCTTTTTTTTTTTTTTTTTTTTTTTTTTTT